TCAATGAAGAATTATTATGGTAATTTCACCTGGCTGGTTTTCCTTGTTTCTGGAAATCACTTAAACTCTTCTCGTAGTGTTCAGCAACAACAATCAGTCGTTCTGTAGAACAAGAGGAAGAAAAACACAAAAACATGTGCAATGAATTATCAAAATTACTAACACAGCTTGTCCTAATCATCAATCTATCAAGAATGAAAGGTTATGGTTCGTGCTCTTTTACTTTCAGAAATGTATTATGTCAAGAAACAAAAACAATGTATTGTGTTTTTAACACCTGTATGGCACACAGTCATAAAGTCCAAAACAATTGCCCTGAAACAAATTGTTCCTCTGTGAAGGTTTTTAACACTGTCTCTGTTATTTTTCTCATTTTTCCAGACTCACCATAGTTATGCAAATGTCACCCAGCTCTATCTAGCCCTCTCACCGAATGACTCTGGTCATATAGACCAGCTTTGTCTCTAGAGGGAGTAAACAGCTGGATGCAACAAAACTTCCTTCAACTAAATAGAGACATGACTGCAATAATTCATTTTTTATCAATAAAGAAGAAAGGCTGATGCTCAGTGTTTACCTTTAGTCCAGGGGACTAAGAACTAACACCCAGGTCAAAAATCTTGGTGTAATCGTTGATGAGGATCTAAATCTTAGCAGTCACATCAAAACTGTAACTAAATCCTCATCATGGCATCTTAAAAAGATGGTCAAAATGAGAAACTTTGTGTCCAAGCATGATTTAGAAACATACAGTCATGCTTTTAGCAAAATCAACAATCAGACTTTTGCACTGAATAAAAATGTCGCTGCTAAAATACTGAGAAACACCAAGAAGAGAGAACGCATTACTCCGATTCTTAGATCCCTACACTGGCTTTTAGTTAAATATAGAACTGAATTATTATTATTGTCCATAAGTCTCTGAATGGTCTGGGCCCAACATATATCTAAGATATGTTTGCTGAGTAAAACCTAGAAAGTCTCTTAGATCTGCAGACACTGGTGGGTTCAGACCAGACAAGGTGAACTTCTGTTAGTCATTATGCTGCCTGCTGCTGGAAGCAACTCGCCTTGGAGGTATGATTAGCCTTAACTGTGATCATTTTTAAAAGTAGGGTAAAGACTGTTTTTATTTTCACTTCTTTTAATTAATCAGTTTAATTTATAAAGCCTAGTCTAAATTGACGATACTTTTATTACACTTCTCTGCACTTTCATTCATTAAATATCTTTTTTTTTATTTTATTTTACATGCTTTTTTCCTGTCTTCTGTCTTTTTCTACTGTTTTCATCAACTAAAATCTGTGCGCACTTTCTTCATCTTGTCTCTACTGCATTTTATTTATTTTATTTATTTCATTTTTTTTTTTTAATTTTAAAAGTTTGATAACAACAGAAAATGAAATAATACTTGATAAACAAACCAAATTAAATCTTACCAGCTGCAAGTACAAGATATACGCTACAATAACATCTCCGATAGGGTGCAAAACAGGAAGTCATACCATGTTTCCCTCTTGAAATGTCCACATACTGGCAGAGTCTGGGGTGAGTGATGGTCTTGAGGATCTGGAAACGTCCCAGGATCTTGATGGAGTTGGGGGTTAGAGGAAGGCCATTGCTACCACAGACATCATGTGGGAGAGCTGAGGCAAAGAAGGTGAAAGCTCCCAGCTGGGCATCTTTAAGGGGCCTCATTGTGCTACTGGCATGAAGTACAGACAATGGGACATAATACGATATGTGAATAATATGTGAAAACATAAAAAACTGAATAAACATTTTGATCATCAGCAATGCATTGTATGATACATTAACAACCGATTTTTTTATTTGTCATTCACTGTACAACAAAAACTGACTGTCATTAGAGCAAACAGCTTAACACTGACATTATATTTGCAACACATTTACACCATATATTACAGTAATTTCATAAACAATAGACAATGAGAGTGTGTATTGCTGCTGCAAGTTAATTCTGTGTGAATGGAGCGAAATTATAAAAACAATCGGCCCGAATAGGAAGCCAAAGATAAAATATGAATTACCTCAAACAAACGTGTCTTCTCACGCTTAATGCGGAGGCTGCATGCTCATGTCGACAGAATGGACCTGAAATTCTTCTTAATAAAATATTTTTTGAAATGAACGTTTCCTGTCTCTGCGATGTGATGGGAACAGCTGAGTGAACGTGACCGGTGACGTATTTTTTGTGCGGCGAAGTAGTGTCGAGGGGACAGTTTCTAACAACAAAACAATGGCTGTGGAATCTGAATGAATCAGTAAAATTTTTAATCGCGCACAAAGCTGTTCTTGAACCGAGTTTTTGCTTTTTTTGACGAGTTAGTTTCTCATCCTAAAAATATATATACAGGCAATTTCCATGGACGCCTAAAAGTATTGGATCTATAGAACATGTGGCTAACAAAGGCACACGCAACACAGGTGCCTGCGTCACACCCGGATACTGCTGCGATCGAACCACTGGGTCCTAAATGATCCTGTCCGCGGCTAACTGCTAGCCGCCTGTCAGCTAGCTGCAGCTGTCAAGCCCCCAGCTGTCCCTGAAACGTGTTGGGGTTGCTGCTCAGAGTCCATGTAAGTTTCTAAAAGCTCTGTCTTATATCTCACTGCTTAAACTAACTGTGGCTTTATTACAATCGTAAGCTGTCGATAACGTCTAACCGGCAGGCATTAGCATGTAGCTTAGCAGTGCTACCTACACTCGAGCTAGCACAAAGTCAGGTTGATTCCTTGTTCCAGTGTCACGTTAGTTGAGGAACGTAGACGTGAACGAGTGTTACAGATTTGTGGCACCTTGTAGGGAAATGCTGCTGTAGTGCAAATGAATAGCAGTCCAGCTCAAGCCCTAACCTTAACCTACAATGGCTTAGCAGCAAATATATATAGGTTTGCATAAATCGAAAGAACACCGGCTCAGAGCTGACTGAACAACCTGACGCAACGTTAACTAATATTGAGTCAATATCACTATATTGAACCATCCATTACACAGGAAGTTTTAACACTGGGATTAACGTTACTTAAAAAATTATTCGCAAGTTAGTCTATCATTTGATCTCTGTGTTATTGTGTAACTAATTATACCCAACAGGTAATATTTACTGTACTAATATGCATTGATGCAAAATAACTAAGTACATGTATTCAATACTACATATAAATCCAGTTTTCATGTACTTTACTTGAGTATTTCCTTTTTATGCAGCTTTGTACTAATACTGCGACATTTCAGAGGGAAAAAGTATTCTTTAACACATTAGATCATAAACTTTCAGAAACAATACACAAACAGAGATGAAATGTTGTTGTCTTTTGGCATCTAACAAATAGTGGTGTGTCATCAGGGTCACTTTTCAAATGTCTATGAGTTGTTAACAGATCCAGCAGATTTTTTTTCCCCTTTAAACATACCGATGATTTTATTGTGAAATCAGACATAATGACAACATTATAACAAGCTTTTAAAATACAACAAATTGTTAAAGAGACAAACTTTTTGGTGTCTGATCTCCTACAAAAAGCAGTGTGTTGTCTGGCTTACATTATCGATGTTGAGCTGTTGATAGTTCCACCAAATAGTCTGAGTGGAGCTTTTATTCTAAACGTCTCACATGGTTTCATTTTTTAAAATGTTCAAATGATTCACTATCTCATCAGAAAATCAAAGATCACAGAAAAATCCAAAAACTGAAAGCAGATTTGTGTATCAGAACGTTGTTTTGCCTTCTTTCTTCTCACATTAATCGTCTCAATACATCTCAGATTTGTCTGCATATGCTTATTGTATCTGTATACACAATGATATTGCAGTAATAATAACCTAATTATGTTGTCAATACTTCATCAACATTTTGTTGCTAATACATATTTTTCCTTTGGTGTGTGTTTTTTTTTTTTTTAAATGCAGGATTTCATATGTAATTGAACATTTTATATTGGTGTGCTAGTATTTATACTCAAGTAAAGAATTTAAATACTTCTTTCACCACTGCTAGTCTGGCACTCAAAGGTTATTTAAGGTATTTATTAAATTGGCAAGTTTTTTTTTTTTTTAAATAATATTTAATGCTTTGCAAAATAATGATCTTTCTCCATGGAGTTAGGGTTGCAGCAAAATAGGGTTGCATGTTTCGTTAGTCTGTGGTCACTATATAGTGGCCGTAACCAGCAGAAACATAAGTTCACAGAAAAGCCACAATTTGGAAGTTAAAGGGAAATACTAATGACAGCCCACTGAGTGAGAGATGTATTTGCTGAAACAGGTGTCCTCATGAAGGAACACCACTAGTCAGTCATCTTTAATTAAAACAATGTCTCTGATAACCATCAGAGTAATCCAACTGCTCAACTCGTGTCCTTAAATCTAACTTTTTTACACCCACTAACATGAACAAATGATTACAGCCAGACTGAAACCCACACTTATTTTAGTGTTTTCGCTTCTCAGTGTACAAACTGGGGCTGCAAGGTGACGCAGTTGGTAGCACTGTTGCCTCGCAGCAAGAAGGTCGCCAGTTCGCATCCCGGTGCGTGGAGTTTGCATGTTCTCCCCGTGCAGTGTGGGTTCTCTCCGGGTTCTCCGGCTTCCTCACACAGTCCAAAAACATGTTGAGGTTAATTGGTGATTCTAAATTGTCTGTAGGTGTGAATGTGAGTGTGCTTGGTTGTCTGTCTCTAAGTGTAGCCCTGCGATAGACTGGTGACCTGTCCAGGGTGTCCCTTAAGTCAGCTGGGATAGACTCCAGCCCCCCATGACCCTAGTGTGGATTAAGCGGTGTATAGATAATGGATGGATTTACACAGTGGCATGAAAACAAACATGTCTTGCAAACCCTCGAATTATAAAAAACAAGGGATTAATAAATCATCATATTCAACCCTCAAATAAATGGGTTGTTTTTACAAACACATGACTTGATCAAGACAAATAGTAAAGTCATATTTCTTCTGGCATTTTTGTAATGTATTAGCAATAATAATACCACTAAAAATGTGCTAGCCATTTATTATATTTGTACAATTATTCATAGATGTCAGAAAATGCTTTTTTCTTCATATTATAGTATACACAGAAAAATGTCACTTTGTGATGTTTTCTTCAGTCTTATGTTGCACACTCTTCGGCCACATGCAATGTACAATTGATATGTTTTTCATTCTTCATAATCTAACCAATTATTTCAAACACAGTTGATTGATAATGACAACAATTGATAAATGTAGCATTAATAATGGCCAACAACATTAGTATTTTGATACCACCATGCTTTCAGGTCATCTGTACTCTTGGCAGTGCAGAGTCTTTTACCTAATTTCATCTGTTAGCCTGTTGTATAGCTTACAATTTGGTGTACAGCTTCCATTTACTTGCATTTTACCTTTTGCACAGTTAATTATTGCTGGACTTTTTGTGTTTACAAATACATAAAAATAGCAATTATTTATACCAGTTAAGCATGCCAGTAAAGGCCACATATGGGAAAGATGAGCACATGCGTCTAGAAAACCAGTCAATCTGGTGCTACAGGCTAGACCTTAAATGGTTTCCTCTAAATTTAAATGTGCAGGTCCGTCTAATGCCTTCAGGTGGTGCTGGCACACTGCACTCACTTTTCATTCATAATGGTCTGATTGGCAGCCAGGTAGGGAAGTATCCAGAATATTTCTGCTGTGGGAATGAACCATGAAAAGAGAAAACACTTGTCTGCTGGTGGGTCTGCACACACACTACCCAGTATCAGAGAAAGCCTGTGGTTTAATATGACAGATTTACATATTTGATTCAAACCGCCTGTGCAGAGCTATTCAATATTATATTTGATACTTTCATTTTAGAGTGAATGTAGACATAAAACGCCTATAGCAAAAGGGCTTCTGCTAAACCATAAACGGTTAACTTGCAAGATTTTTACAGTTGCCAAGATGAATCCAGTATACTATGAGTTCATACGGTGTAGACCTGTAAATCAGGAGGGCTGAAAGCTGGTGAAAGCACATGTCACTGTCTACATTGTTAACACATTTGGCTATTTCCGTCTAAAATCCAAACCTGCAGTGTCTTTATGCTGCAGACCATACCTCAGCTTCAAGATTCATTTTCAGAGGTTATCCAAATGAGATCAGCCTTTTTTATGGCTCTTGTTATTACTCCACCACTGGTCCTGTTTAAATCAATTCAATTTCTCAAAAAGAAATGCTTTGATCCTTGATTTTATCAACTCCAGCTCTTTTGTGTTTCTAATTTCCTCATCCCCCAACATTTTGTTTTCATCTTGGGCCAGCTGTTGTTTTCCAGCGCCTCCCTGTAATATGTGTAAGAAGTTTTCTTCTCCATGCCTCAGCCTTGTAAAAATCCTTCTTTTCCTCTTTCTTCATGAAGTACTTTGCCAAGCGCAACATTGTAAAGGAACATTACCCCAAATTCTGGTATAACACTGGTATCCCGCAAAGGATTAATTGAGTGTCAATTTATCACTCACTACTGTGGAAGACTGAAATTCAACCATAATTTTAGTTTGACCAATCTGACTTGAAACCTTTTAAGATTTTGTGAGGGCTTTTAACGCTGAAATGTTGCAGATTTGTTTGGAACTGTTTTCTCGATTTTGTAAAAATGAACAGGTGTTTCTCTTTCTCTGCATACCTTGTAGACAGACGTCAAATTAAGTCAGTTTGGGCAACCAGCCAAAGTATATAGCAGTCATGAAAATCTCATTAGTACATGGTTTATACATACTGAGGCTGCACATTAAGGCAAACATATGAATATGATTGCTCTGCAATAAACATTGCAGTCAGGCATTCACGGCACCTTATTTGTGGTTACAGTACAATATTTAATAATGGAAATGTTCTAATGCTGCCAAATCATATTATGATACATTACTGAAGAACAGTAGAGTGTAATGCCCTATAGAGAAGTCCAGTTGAAGAAAACCTGCAACACATACCAACTTTGTGGAAATTACAATGTTCAGTTTTTGTGAGGCTATCTGAGACTGGTTGACTTGACTCTGTGGTCATCTTGGAGGCTGTAGTTTGTGGTGAAGTTGTACTGGAATGCAAACCTTGTAACTCAAACATACCTTTGTATATGTCCAGTGTGGTGCTTTGGAACACCATCTGTTTTTACGCTGTTGGTGTCAGACAGTTTTATTTAAAGCAAGGAATGGAATGACTTCACTGTACATAACCATTTAAAACAAATGTAATCATACTTGTGAAACTCCAAACACCTACTGAAGACCTTACGTGTATAATATCTTATTTAATCTTTGGTATATTGTTTAGCCCTAATATCTACCAAAACTATTCGGATCACATTTTGTTTTTGCTGAGTTTGCTTTATGTCTGTTTTTGTCCTTTTGTCGTCAGGTTTTTCGCTCGCTCACTGGTCAAGATGTCAAGTCACAATCCTTTGTTGCGGCTGGAGCAGCGAGCGGCTGAGGCTGACCAGATCATCGAGTACCTCAAACAACAAGTCCAGCTACTAAAGGAGAAAGCCAGTAAGAAACAAACATACACAAAGACGGTTGTTCTCAGCCAAATGCGGTATATTTAGGTTTATAGTACAGTTAGATTTACAAATCTAAGGCTGCATTTTTTAAATGTAGGACCTTGAGATGGGTTGCAACTAAATTGGAATACATAAAACATTTTTGTATTATCCTCTATTATTACAACAACAAAAAAAGTTTTTAGGAAAAATTCTGTATTTACTAGGCCCCAAGGTAGACTTGATCCTATGTGTTTAGTGGAAGGTTAGCAATACTTTTTTTTTTTTCCCCCCAATTTGATAGCTTTTTAATTCCAATAGTTATTTCAGTATTCTTATGGGAAACTGAAATTTAATACTGTGCTGAGAAGTAACAGAAATGTGCCTTGTTGCAGTTGTCCAGGCCAGTGTCAGAGAGGAGAAGAAACTGATGGTGGAGAATGCCAAATTAAAGAATGACATTGAAGTACTGAAGAAACAGCTGCTCGAGAAGGAAAAGAAGAGGGGAGGTATGTTAAGTTTTGTTCCCAGCAAAAGTTCCATTACGGATCAAATGTTTGTTTGTCTTTAAAAAGACCTTCTCATGTTGTTACCCTTTATATGTAGTTAAAGAAGCGATTGTGTGTGTGCCTAATTTCGGAACATTTGATGTCAGTTGTTGCTCATTAGGGCCTTTGTTTGGATTGTCCTATCAATGTTACCATCTTGTGCATTCTCGCCTAAGCCCATTATAACCAGCTCTTTTTTTGTTGTTGTTTTTATCATAAGCAACCACAGCACTTCAAGAATCCCCATTAGGGTGATGGGGACAGCATGTGTGTCAGCTATTCTGCTTCTGACATACGTTGGCGTTCAAGGGCAAATCGCTCAGATCGTTTAATGTTTTCCAGAAAGAAGATGCAGGAATGAACAGGGGGCTGGAAGAAATAAGTAATTTAACCTTACTCAAAAAACTCAATATGTTTTGGAACGTCGAAGGAATGCATTCCAATACACCCAAGACAGTGTGTTTTGCACACATTGTATATAATGTTTATTTTTGAGTTGTTGGCTTTTTTATGACTTAAACAGCATCCCACTGTAGTCACATACTTTGCCTGTTTGTGGAATGCATAGGTACAGTGCTGCTAGCGTGCACTGGACAGATGCTCTGCCCCTTTATTTCAAATGAAGAAACAGAATGTTGATGTCACATATTCCATTTAAAACTAATAGAAGTTTTTTAAGTGCTTGAAGAAATAATCGACAATCGTAAAGTGTGTGTCATGCAAGAGAAACAGATTGAATGGTCAAAGTTGTATTGACATTTAAGTAGTATTGATTGATTCAGGATTCCAAGGCAACATTTCACCTCAAGAGTTGCTGGTGGTCTTCAATTTTTACTATCAAGCTAACGTTAACTTCCAAAGATAAAAAGGCAACATGACTCCTGTGATGGTTTCTGTATTCCCGACAACGCCCGCCTGTTAAACCTGCACAGCTCCACAATTTCTGCAGGGAATGACAGAATAGCTTAGCTACGTTTTTATAACTTAGCATCTTAAAAGAGCTTGACCTCTGCCTGCACTGCAACTTTTCCTCAGAATGGATGTTTTCAGTGAATTTTCATTTGCTTGGCACAAGTAAATGGAATCATCCAAAACACAAACTTCTAATTACAACCTACTACTTCCATGGTATCATTTAAATCTACTTGGCTAGATGCTAATATTCTCAGCATAATGAAACTAATTATAAAGTGAGTCTAACATTTGATTGTGTGGTCAGTTATAGTTGACTAATGTATATAAGCTTGCCACCGTAGGAACAGCGGTAACATAACCTTTAATCAAGGTCAGATTATTTTCATGGAAACATTTTGTAAATATGTAATTTCGATACACAAAGACAAGCTTTTAGGGATTTAATGAATACCCAGGGAATTTTAATAATTGTTAAAATTAAACGACTTAATAATAAAGCGGAAAATAATGTAATTGGCCAGAAAATCAAAACAAGAAGCTGAAAAAGTTGCTGAAAAAATCTCTACAGAGCTGAGGAGCTCCAGAGCTAAGTAATAATTTTCGGTTTGTAACTATGGGCTTTATGGTTTCTGATATACAAAATATGTCTGGGTTAGTTTTGAGAAAATGCACTGCTTAAGACATCAACAACAATTCTATTTCATGTGATTATGCAGCCACTGTGTCTTGCAATTGAATATTTCACTAAGTGAATCATATGTAGTACCGTCATATAGAACGGAAAGAGTGTGTTTTAAATGTGAAAAACCTTGAGAGGAAACTTGATGGGAAGTTTGGGAGGTTATTGCCTGTAATTCCAAGGTAAACCGGAAAGGTCCTGTTCTCAGGTCCGAACATAGAATTAAGGTAATTAAAAGCATTATGGTGATGGTGGTGTGCCTGCAGACCGATGTTTGTCAGACACAGGCAGTAGATTTTGTAGGGATTCAAACATCAGGCGCCTTAAATGAGGGGTTATTTTTTTCTACAGAGTTATACGAGGACATTGTTCCCAGCTTTAGGGTTCCATTTCCATGTTTCCATCAACATGGACACTGTGTCATTTTCCCATCTAAACTGTTTGCATCAGGGGAGCAGTCTGCCCACTGCGTGTGTAAATAAACCTCCATCTGTATCATTTCGTTGTATTATGTTGATGCAACCAGCTCTGTGCGTGAAAAGGGACAACTAAGAAGTCATTTACCTTGTGTATTTGAAATGTAAATTTTCTCTGTTTTGCAGCAGGGCAGCTATGCTCTTGTCTGTCTTTTCAGTTGGGATACCAGGAGTGCAGATAGCATAAGTCAGAAAATTGTCAGATATTGTGTTTAATTTGCTACCTAACCGTTATTAACAGTGTACATGTCTTCCTTCTTTAGTATTGGACGTTGCCATGCCATCAAGTGCCACCAGTGTCGAGTGCAGTTCAAAGCCCACCCCTCCCAAACCCTCTGGTCCAGCACCCTCAGCTTCCCCCGCTGCTGCTGTCCAGAGCCCCCCACCCAAAGATGAGGGTAAAAAGAAGAAGCCAGAGAAAAAAGGTAACGGCTAGAGAGCAATGTATGGCACATTGTAGGATCTGGTATGAATCCAGTGACGTCCATCGGAAGCTGACTAGATGGAACACACTGTTCTTCAAAAGTCATTTGAACTTTTCCAAACATGCTTCATTTGAATTTCTAATATCAGGTAGTAATCAAAGTGAGACATCTGCTTCTTAATGGATCCAAGATCCTCATCAGCCTAAGCCAGAGAATGCTTAATGAAGTTTGATTTGTTAGGAATTTTAAGTATGTAAGATATCTTTGTGATGAGGTATCTTCATGTCACCAGTTATTAATTCCAATTTGGCAGAAATTTAATTCAGATTTTGTGTGGATGTGCTAGATCGTTCTGGGACTTTAACGTTAAATTGTTCAGAATACAAAATAAGAAAACCCTTGCCTCAAAATTTCAATTAGTTAACAGTAAATTACTCAACTCCTTGAATATGTTTCAGCAATATGCTGTTTGTTTAATTAGAAGAACTTTGGGCACCCACAGGGAACAGTCAGCTCTGTATGTGGTGCTGAGGTTATAATTTAGACACAGGAAGCCAAAAGAAAACATTTAGTGGAGTGACTGGAATTTCTCACATCCAGAAATCAGAAGTGTTAATAAACAAGACCTCTGCCTTTTGACTAAAATATTGAATTCTGGTGTTACTTCAGGCTTCAATTTAGCTGGCATGTCACCTCATCCAAACAGTTATAGGTTGTTAGTATACAAACGCATATGTAACTAGAGTCCCTGTAATGCTGTGTCGCTGTGCTGTCATTACAGCAGAGCAAAAATTACTTATGGTGAGTTGAATTAATTAATAACAAAGTCAGGGGTTTAAATTTATATGCCTGAGAGTGTGTAGGCTGAGTGGAATGATTGAAGACTCCAATCCACTGGAATTAATGTGTGTAAGCAAACCAGACGAGTGAAAGCTACTTTGTCTCTTGGGGGGGAACCATCTGCTATTCCGCTATGTCACTGGATCACATGGCGCTCACCGTCAGCCAAAAGCGGGTAATGGTATTGTCATTTAGTCAAGCCGCATGCTCTACAGTTCTGGGAAGGAGTGAATAAGTGATGGTGTTGTTCTAAATTCTTTATTTACTCATGGATCACATGATACGCATGCCACCCTGAGGCTTGTCGTTGATGTTTTCATTTATGGGAGGAAATTAAATCAGATTCCAGATAGATGCCCAGTTTTGTTTCATCTATGATTTGTTTTCTGTAATGTTTCTTGGAAAGATAACAGTTGACTGAAATGTTCTCGGTGCCTTTTAAAGAAACATTTCCTATAATATCATGCACATTTATTATAATACCATGAAAACTGTCACAGATGCGTCTCTTGAGCAAACGTCTCTCTTAACACACGATGACTTAACTACTGTCTGACTTTCGTTGCCGAAAACGCACAACACCCGACCAAACTGTCCTGTCAAGCTGTTCCCTCGACGAAATTAAAAACACTGAAACATGAAATTTAAACGCAAAGTGTGTTTTTGTGCAATATTAGTATAACAGTTTCCCATTTTTTTAATGCCAGGAGGGGAGAAAGCAGAGAAGAAGCAGGCAACCCCTAGTCAAGAGGAGGCCAAGGTGGATGTGTCTCGTCTGGACCTACGCATTGGACGTATAATCACAGCTGAGAAGCATCCAGATGCTGACAGTCTCTATGTGGAACAAGTCGATGTGGGAGAAGCTTCTCCCAGAACAGTGGTCAGCGGACTTGTCAAGCACATACCTCTGGACCAGGTACAGTATAGTAGTTATTTAGATGTGATTACCAGAGGTTTGGGAAGGGAACTTTGAAACTGATGGAATGACTAACTCACAAAGTCTCCGACATTACATGTAGGGATTCACATTCATTTACTGATTTAGTTTGGATTTATTTGGTTAAAAAAAAAAGTAAAAAGTTGCTTCCTGTTCAGTCTCATGTAGTTACATAGTTATGATCCAGTGTTAAAGTCACGGAATATCTCATCAGGACTCAAGTTGCAAACCTGTGGATGACTAAAACACCAGCCTGTAAGTTGGCTTACTACAGTGAAGTAGATGTAAATTTCAACAAAAGTTAGGTTTTCATATTAGCTTAATGGTTTGCCACCCAGATTATATTTAAGAGCTGTTTTCAGAGGCAAAAGCAATGGTGAAGACAGTACATTAATGTCTAACTAGGGCATTTGGAAGAATTTATTCGTCCATTTAAATTGATTTGTCAGATAATTCCACAATATTTTATGATAGTCATTCAAGAGCTCCAGAGAATATGTGTTGTATCTCACATAAATGTAGGATTTTCTCCTAAAGCAGACTAATTAGTGTGTTTCATTTTACCTAAATTGAAACCATCATTCACTTTTACAGTCTTCAGCATTTCTTAGTGTTTCCTTATATTTCTAGACCGCAGAGCCCTTGTGTATAACAGTTGGCTTTTATTATATGTAGACATTGTATATCATTTAAATTGAAACATGCCTGCTAAAATCATGTGTAACAAACACTGATTCTTTTAGGCACACAGACAAATATTGGACTTTAGCTATTTAAAATGGTTAACGGTGCTGCAGCATTGACATTAAGTAGCACAGCTTTATTAAGTGCACATTGACTGCAGTTAGGAAAGCTAAACGACTGCTGCCCTTTATGTCTCTGTATCAGTCTGTTACTCACAGAGACAATAAATCTAAAATCAAATTTCTTTTTGACCTTCTTGTTAGCTGTCCTATTTATTTGAATCATAATCTGCTTGTCAAGCCAGCAGGAGTAATAAATAAATATCTGAGCTACATAACTGGTTTACGTCTGTGCTTTTGAGTGTGAATAGATAAAAGGCGCTACTCCGAAATACATGTCAAATAAAGGGTAATTATAAAATAGCTGTTAGGATAAGAAGCTATTGCATAATGAAGTATTGTACAAGTCGAGCAGTCTTTTGTGTAAATACTGTTATAAAACATTCACATTCTTGTCCCAGCTTGCCAAAACTGTCTACAGATGAAATATGAAAACTTCCACTGAAACCCTGTCAAAGCAAAATGAGTAATTTCTAATTTATGAAGCAATTTCTTCAAAGATGTCTTAGGTAGGATTATCTTCTGAGCTCTGGTTTACATCATCTCATGAGATGCAAAATTTTTCTTGTTCTCAGCTTTTGCAGAAACTGCCTTTCGTCTTCTTTTAAATTTTGGTCAACCACAGAAGCCTCTGGGCTCAAAAGTCTAATGTTTTCCTGTTTGCTCACTTTGGTTTATGAAATGAGGCGAACAAACCATAAACCCTCGGACACAGTAACTTTAAAATTGATAGATCGTAATAGGCATTATTGTTTCTGATGGATTATGAAACTCTCTGTCCTAACCCCAAACAGACCACATCTGTAGAAGGTGTTTTTTTAACTTTAATAAGTTGGATGTAATTTGTTTTTCTTCTCTGTTGTCCAGGGACTATGGGCTGCAAAAATGCATTTAATCTTGTGTCCCCCCATGCAGATGCAGAACCGCATGGCAGTCCTGATGTGTAACCTGAAGCCAGCCAAGATGAGAGGAGTGGTGTCCCAGGCCATGGTCATGTGTGCCAGCTCTCCAGAAAAGGTTGAAATCCTTGACCCTCCAAGTGGAGCAGTACCAGGGGACAGAGTAACTTTCCAGGGCTTCCCAGGTACCAATACCCTCATTCCTATAGCTTACCTCTCAAAAACATACTGATTATTGGGATATGGAAAATACTGCATGCTACCAAACAAAACAAATGGGAACAGAGGATGCTTCCTTCACCACTTAATGACTGTCAGAGCCTGAGAAAACTTCCCACTCGAGAATCCACAAAATGCCTCTGTCTTTAGTAAATGAAGGGTGTCGTTGAACCTTTTTACTGGCAAAACAGCATGGCAGTTGGAACATTCATTCTTCTGAAGACACCAATTACCATGCGTTTTCAGACCCCACTGAAAGTGCTCATTTAGAGGACTCCTCAGTTCTGTTTGGTGGTGGCTAAATGGTCTGTGACTGCTGATTTGGCAGACTAATTAACACTTATTGCTAGGAATGCAACCTAATTTTGTTTTATCATCAGTTGGAAAGATAAGTGTCCTAATTGTCCTGTTCAGTTCAAGCAGTATAGATGAGTTTGAGTAAAAGAACACATGAGCCTTATTCTCTATCTATTAACACTTCAGCTAGACCATAATAGAGTCAAGTCCCTTTTATGTGAGGCATTTCAACGACAATCTTTAACGAATATGGCCTAAATAAAAAACACCACCAACAGTCCAGTGGCGTTGTAAAAGTTTGCAAAGCTGCATATGAGAAGAGAATTAGTCTTGTTTTCACATTTCCTACTGAGAGCAATAACCATATTGGGAGTTCCCTTTTTAAAAGAATAAAGTGAAGAGGAGGATGTAATGAAGGTGGATCTGTGGTCCATGCACCCGCAGCCCAGCTGCATCCGCTGAGGCTTTCATCCCTGCAGTACACATGTCCCAGCCATTGTAAAAGCTGTTTGATTCACAAGAAATCCCTTCAGCAACAACATTTTTATGGATACTACATAAATTTATATTCTAACCGTCCTCTGAAAAAGAGGATAAAAGAGCGAAGGATAGAGCAAAGATGGAATTGACCGTCGGCATGCCACACTGTCAAGGGTTGTTTTCTTTTTTTCAAGTTTATGTTTTGTTTTTGTTTTTTTTACAACAGCATATAAAAGTACTTTGAAAATAGAGGGATAAATAAGTTTTTGTCCTCTTCCTAGCTGCCCTGTTTTCCCACCAAAGCCCTGTAATACAGATTCAATTATAGCCAATCCACGGCTGGTGTGAGTACATGGTTGTAATTGCTCACATTTCCCCCAACTAATGGGGCCCAGTACTTCTGCTTGAACTTAAGAATGTGCGCAAGTTGCTCATCAAAACCTCTTTCACGCTTCTGATCAAAACTGATTGTTGCCACTCTTGGGTTGTAAACCAGCAGAAATCACAGCTTTGGGAAATGAAACACATTTGTGTCCTCATACCCTGAGATGGTTGTGTAAAGCGGAAAAAGTCAACACCAGACAGAAGCCAGCCATTGCCGGCTATAAATTTTCATAAAAGCCAAGCAACATCAAAAACAAAACCATCATGCAATGAGAACCTCACCTAATTGTTTTCCTTGGGTGCATATTTTGATTCTGAGAAATTCAGTTAAGATGTTTTGAGTTATAGCTAAGAACAAATGGCACTTTTTTTGAAATGCCCTAACATGCTAGACATGTAAACCATTCACAATAAATGTGGGAGAAATAAAATTAGAATTACCCTAATAAATCATGAACGTAATTGTTGGTCATTTCCTTACAATTTGTATTGGCCTCAGCTTCTTACACAGATTGTATCTATGTATGCTGACCATGAAAGATCCATGCAGGAGCATTTAAAGGCATCTATTAATGTGTCCGTCAATGATCGAATGCAGGAATATAGTGAAACTGTGTTTGAATAGGTCACACAAGGACATGGCATATCACAGTCAGGTCATGAAACGCCAGTCCTGCATCCACAAAGCCAGCATTTGTGATAGATGAGCAGAGGAAGATCAAATAGCGTTTCTGATGCATCTTTTTAATGCAGGTGAACCAGACAAAGAGCTGAACCCCAAAAAGAAGGTGTGGGAGCAGGTCCAGCCCGACCTGCGTACAGACGGCCAGTGTGTTGCAACCTACAAGGGAGCTGCCTTTGAAGTCGCCGGCAAGGGAGTGTGCAAAGCCCAAACCATGAGCAACAGTGGAATCAAATAAAATAACAGAGCTGCTTGAAATAGCTCAGTGTTTACTTGGCAATCATCTCCTGCGATGACCATAATGGAGTTGAGAAACAGGATTCATGAAAGTTAATGCTTTGAAGATGTTCAATAAAGCGTTTTGGAAATAGTATGTACTTTTTTTTTTTTTTTCAAGTGTGTCCTAAGAATCAGTCCTATGACTCTGAGGGGTTGTTTTTTTTTGTCTTTTTACCTCTAAAGTAGACACAGTCATGCTCTATAAAGTGTAATCAATACAGTTGTGCATTTATGCTTTAATTCCCCAACTGCGCGTCTTCTCCTGAGGCACATTAACTTGATTGTGCTTTGATTTGAGGTTATAACTCTAAAGGACAGACCGAACTGGGTTTGAGCAGGTTTATAATTCAACTAGTCTTGGGCATTTTAATTGAGCTGGAGAGGAAATGGGGATGTTATACTCCAGAGCCCAACAAAAACATATCAGGTTTTCAAGCTTATTGCAGAAGCCATTTAGTTGGTTCTCAGCCCTGGCACTCTAATCTCCTGGTCCGCTGTCAGTATCTCAGTCTGGATGCAGTGATGTCGGTGCCATGTGTTTCGTTTATTGTCGTCCTGAAAGAAAACATCTACCTTCATCCGGAAATATCAGTCTTCATCAAAGAAATGGAGGGCTGTGCACCAGAGCCTCTAATGTTACATCAACTGTTTTTAAGGCCGTCCACACCGCACAACCGTTTGTCATGTGTCAGAGCTGAACACTACACAGAACCTACAGTCGTGAGTCCTATTTTCAAGTACTCCAAAACAAGTTTGCAGTCATGTTTACACATTTTTCCTCGATTTGTTTTGCTATGAGGTTAGCAAGTGGAACGGAGGGGCAAAAAAACATTCATTTATCATCACAGACTATTCCACCAGTAGTTACTTTTCAAAGGGGTTATATTTTTGTAACACATTTTTAAATGAAAATGATTTCAAGTGAAAGGTGTTTCTCGCCTCCCAGTGAACCTGTAAAGTTATTACACCAGTCTGTAGCGTTGTATTGATTTTCACCTCATTGTTTAGCTGGAACTCTTGGAGGTTCATTTCTTCTATTTGCCAGAGAGAGTGCTCATTGTTCATATGAACAAACTTAGAAAAACGTTCACCCCAAGACTAATATTCTTCTGTTTTACCTGGCAAGTTGTTGAAAAAAGAAACCCGAAAGGTAAACAAAGTTCATGGTAGTGCGGAGATGGAAATTCTACCAACACAGAAAACTTAAATCTAAATCATGCTGATAACAGAAGGTTTTCAAAATTCAGAGCTGAATTCAAAACTGAGTTGAGTCAAACACCAGTTGTCTTCAGGCCAGAACTCTCTCCTGAGGATTACCAGTAAAAAATAATTAACAAAAATTGGTGCATATTTGTAGCTGACCCTCCAGTTGGACAAGGTTTGCTAAAGGTCCAGGTCCTGCCTCTTTGCTTATCGACAAACTGGAGCTCATTTTAGGTGCTTCAGACTGAGAACAAGTACGTTTCTTGCAGCAGTAACACTTGCTTGATAACGTCTTAGACGCTGTCTGGTGGTCATGTGCTTTTGGATGATTTTACCTGTCAAATCCTCGTACATCTCAAGTAAAATAACTGTTTAGAAATCCTCACTGAGAAAAACCTGTCATTGAGGTTTAGATGAACTAGACAGCTTAACTAAGCGAGCCCTGCTAAAGAGTATTCTCACCTAAACCACAGTGTTCCTTTTGGGTTTTGTGGAACCACAAGGAGTGTTGCAATCTGAGAGGAGGCTCGCTCTATGATTCCTTGAGTCAGACATTTATACATTTCCTAACTGAATTTATAACAAGAATTGGTGTATGCTGGTTATATAATCACACTAATTTACACAATATCTGTTTATATGTCATCCATATCTGAGTATTAGCACTTCCCAGATTATTCTTTCTCCTGAGTGGACATAGACAACTAGGTCCTAGGGAAGAATTTCATTTCTATAAGTACTGATCTCACACATTGCAAGTGCTCTGTGATAAATTGAGCCAACACCATTGCACCTGTCCTCTCCTGTTCAGGCTGAAACCTTTCTCTACGCTCTGAAGATACGATTGAAGTTGGGTTCATTGCTGTAGATGCTGCCATTTCATTATTTCCACCTCATTCTTTGTCCTCCAAGTCATGTCCTCCACTTGACCTGAGCAAAGAAATATGGTAATCCCAGCAGCTCTTCGTGGAGGTGGACACATACGAATGCAACACCTTTAAACATGACTTAATATGGAGGGAAGGAAACTGGAAAACCCCAAACAACTCTTTGATGTGATGGAGCCTAACTCACCCATGAAGAGCAGGATTTAGTGTACTGGTAACTATGACTAAAAGGCAAATTTGACATTATTTTTCACGAAACGTTGGGTTCTAATCTCCACCAGCCGCAACATCATGAAACAGCAGGATCATGAGTAATACATTTTCTCATTTCTGGGGCCAAGCATTCATTTTTGCAGCAAGGCGTCAAAGTCAAACTATGACAGGTCTTTAAAGAGGAATGCAAACCTCTGGGATAAAAGTCGTGACTCGTGTTGGCGAGTATGATTTGTATTCATGGCGAGATCCAAATGAAAGTGTATCAAGAAACTGTGTGTTTCTTGATGACTTCAAGATCCTTTGGATGTGTGGTGGACCCTGTCAAATTGATAAATGTGTTATTGTTTTTTTGTTGTTTTTTTTCTCATTATTTTTCCCAACCTTATTTTCAAAATGATATATTAACTGTTGATCTTTCTCATTGTGTTTGTTGTGCAGCACTAAAATCCCTCTAAGCTGACTGGAACAGTTGGTCCAACAGTGGCCTCATGTCTTGTAGTATATGCAAGACTATGACAAGGTTTAGTAAAATATGTTTTCATATTGTACAGTAAGCTGTTTGGTAGCCTTGTTTAAACCCATCTATGCAGTTTGTGCTCTTTGAACAAAGGTGTGGCATGTAGGATAGGTGATATTTAAATATTCACCTGACAGACAGAGTTACTGCATATTACAATACAGTAATATGCAAAGAGAAGTCTATATTTTGATTCTATACTTAACTAATCTTTGCTTCGACACAGAAACATACTGAAAAGCTCAACCTACTCATTTGTTTTAACAAATTATCACTGTTTTAACTGCTGTTGTTGTTGTTGATGTTGTTTTTGTTTTTTTTCTCTCATGTGGTCCTGATACTGCACATCCATAAGAGAAAGCGTCTCTGTCCATGTCGTTTGGCAGAGGCTTTTATTTGGTCTACGTCTACAAGTGATAATGATGTCATGAACTGTTGTCAGTTCCAAACCAGCATAAATATCTTCCAAGCCAAATGTTTTTACTAAGACGGTTGCACTGCTGGAAATAAGTGGCAAGTACAGTAAATTTGTGGGTAGTAAAACTAAAACAACGGGCAAGCAGTGGTTGAAGGGCCAAGACGAGCTGCAGGCTGACACTTTTCTGTGAATTCATCACTGTAGAAAAGCTTCTTTGCTGTTACATCGGTGGCTATATTTTCATTTCTTGTTTCTTGAGTAAAGGCCTCACCGAGACCCTAGACTCACTAAACAACTACCGAGTGTTTTAATTTATCCCTTCTAATGAATTCATTTTATTAATTTTGACACCACACAGTTTTTAATAATACCAGCCCTAAAAAGGATGCTTATAAATGAAAGTGTTTGCAAAGAAGCCCTTCTGTGATAGACAGTATGACATAATATCCTCAAAATCCTTCCACACCCCTCCATGGTGTTGGTAGTTACCACATTATGGCTAATTAAATGTGAATAATCAAGATTTGGACCAGATCAGCAACAAGCAAACAAGCTACAAATTCAAATAATCAACAGCGTTGTTTCGATAATGACGGTCGATGGGCAGAAACATGTTCTGGGTGGAAAATGCTGTTGGGAGAGCTGAGGGAAACACAAACCTCCGTGGACATATTTTGGCTGTAGTTGAAAGAGTAGCTCGTGCATGCTGCTCAGCGTGTGGTTCCACGCTTCACTAGTGTTCACAATGAGCAAAATTATCCGAGCTTCTCTTTCAACTGGTGGAAATCTATTATCCGTACGATGGGCCCGGCCGGACATTTTACGAAACGGGTTACGTACATGACAACATTTCTTTGAGCAAAATTAGTACTTCCGTAGGAATCTGGAGACCCAAGACATCAGTAGTGTAATTAGTTAAAAAAACATGTCTTCACTTGTTGCTTATTGCTGTGAGTTCACTATCTTGAGACCTCAAGTCACTGAGCAATGAAGGCGACTGCAGGAATCACAGAATTTGTGTATTCTGGGAGCGTAATTCCAAAGGAAACAGCTGTAGGTTATCCCCAGTTTGGGTTATGTTGTCTGACAGGTTCAACTGAAAGGAGGAAACTTACACCACAGCCAACTGATGAAAAGCAAGAGGGAAAAGTTAATGGTAAAAACAACGCAATACATCATAATAGTATAACAATGTGGTTGAAAAATGTGGCTGGTAAGAAATAGATGAAGGTGAGCAAGGCATAGGAAATAACACTTAAAAACTAAACTTAAACTAAGTTTTATCACATGATCTTCCTCAACAAACTGAGATAAATTGTTATGATAAAGATAATATGTAACCTCACAACCTCAATGGTCTATTTAGTGACTCTCAGAGCTTTCGACTGGAGCTTTCAGTTTTTATCCAGAGATGTTGTTACATAACCAAAGTCCTCCACTGGGATCAGGTGATGGTACTGGAGAATGCTTTGATATGTTTGTTAAGCTCCTCCCAATGGTCAAGATTAAACATGTTAGAGTCATTTACACACAGTGGACAAAGAAGTATTTAGATCTGCTGAAGTCAAAGTTGCAGCATCACAGTTTTCTATTTTACTTCAAAATCATTTTGCCTAATTTAAAGTCCAAAAGCATAAGAACCAAAAGGAACATTTTTCATTGCGCAATATGGACCTGTTTGTAAATAATAATGATATTTGAGAAAATTGTATTGAAGCATTAATCCTGTAGTGAAGCATTAATCCTGGTTAGATGTGCACATGCTCATTTAATTACTTTAAATACTGCTGGCCAATGTGCGTCCCGCACATTCAGTAAAATCATATTTATAAACCATTCTATAGTAATACATA